TTATTATTGGACTGGTAATAAGTCTGATTTATTATCTAACGAGATGTCTAAATTGTATATTTAAGGAAGAGATTTTAAGAAACAAGTTAATCCAGTTCAAGAAGTATTTAAATTAATTATGAATTCATCATATGGTAAAACTATTCAAAAACCCATTAAATCTGATCTTGTATATAAACAAATATCTGTTAAAAATAAGAAAGGAGATATTCAGTATGATGCTGATAGATATTTAAGAAAGAATTCATTATTAGTTAAATCATTTTATGATGTTGCTGAAAATATTAGATGTTTTGAATGTAATAAAAGTTTTGATGATTTCTTTGTACCAAATCTTATTGGTGTTCAAACTCTTACTATGTCAAAACGAATTATGAATGAAGTTATGTGTTTAGCAGAAGATCTCAATATTCCAATTTATTATCAAGATACTGATTCTATGCATATTTTAAAATCAAGAATTAACGAATTAGAAGATGAATATTATAAGAAATATAATAGAGTACTTAGAGGTTCTGATATGGGTCAATTCCATCCAGATTTTGATGAATTATCTGGTGATGTAACTAGTATTGAATCTTACTTCTTAGGTAAAAAGGCTTATTGTGATAAATTAACTAATGAAAATAATGAAATAGAACATCATCTTAGATTAAAAGGTATACCTAATAATTTATTAAATTGTCAATATGAAGATCCGTTAGAATTATATAAGAAACTATATGATGGAGAATCGTTTAATTTTAATCTTTTACAACTTAGACCATCATTTGAATTTACTAAAGATTTTAAAATTAAATCAAGATCTCAATTCTGTAGAAATATTAAATTTAATACTGAATTGGGTTCATTTTAAAAAAATATAAATGACAAAGGAACAAGAATTATCTAAATTTTATAATACTTATAAAAATAAAATAGAATATGCATATAATAATAGAGATAAATTATATGGGATTAATCCTAATACTAACTCAAAGCACAATTTAAAAAATTTTTATTCTGGTATTTATAATTATTTTAATATTAGTAATAATAGAACACAAAAATTATTAGATGATATATATGATATATATACTACTAATAAACGAAGTATAAATGCAAGTATATCTAAAATGCTAGAAGTTACTGGTTCACATGAATTTAAAAAAGATGCAAATACACCTAAACCAGAAGTTAAAGAAATTAAACAAACACCAGAAATTCAATTAAATGCTGAATTAAGACCTCAACCGTCAGCCTACGGCGTGAGTTTCTCGTCAATTCAACCACACGGTACAACCACTACTATAGCTACTTATCCACCAACTAATTATTTTAAG